GCATCAGCACCCACTCCCAGACCTGATCATTTTTACTTCAGCAAATATTCCCTTTGGGGAGAGGCTGTGTTCCACTCTGCTTGTCACAGGACCTTGCACAGGATTTGGGTGAGAAAGCCTTGAACTCCCACATTCCAAGAGGCACATAAAACTCAGGGATAATGTTAAAAGCGGCATTAGTCCAGCCTTGCTGAAGGAACAATCAGCCGTGGCTTGAACAGGATGTAAGAACCTCCGCAGGGAGAAAGCTTTGGATGCTGAGGATCTCTTTAATCTAGTGGAAAAAGAAAGAACAAGAACCACTGGTTGGAGGATGAAGCCAGACAAACTCAAGCTGAAAATAAGGAGTGGGACTGTTAACAGTGCGGATGTTTAACCGCTGGAACAGACTCCCTGGGAAGTGGCGGCTTCTCCATCCCTCCAAGCCCTCACAACCACAATCACTACTTTTCTGGAAGATGCTTTTGCCAAAAATGAGCCATCAGGCTCAACAGAGGGATAAAAGAGCAAAACTCTGTGTTCTGTGATGTACAGGAAGGCAGACCAGACAGCTCTTATCTCCATATGGGTTGCTTGGACAGTGGAAAAATGCAGATGAAGGTGCAAGAATGGAGCAATCTTAATGGACTGTTGAAACCCGAGAATGCCTGAGGGATGGAGGAAGAGCTTGAGCAGCTTTTCAAGAGGGAAGAAGCAAGAGGAAGAGGAGGAGGGCGAGCAGCAGCCAGCTGATGCTGCCAGTGACACAGGGACACAGAGCCATGCCCTGGCAGCCCCAGCCGGAGGAGGCTGTGCACCACAGGGTCAGCAGCCTGTGTATCTGAAATTTGACTGCCTCTGCTGCTTACAGCCACCGGAAAATCAAAGGGCTACCGCTCTGTTACTCTGGTTTTCTGGTTATGGCAATGTCTTCTCATATGTGGTGAACGTGGAGCTGAACAAACTCAGGTGGACTGTAAAGCCGCTTTGCTGCCTCTAGGAGAGAGCATGGGGATATGCTCTTGTGCCCTCACTGATGGCTCTGGACACCAGAGGGTCTGGTTAATAGGTTGGTCTGAAGATCTGCCTAATCAGCCTTGTTTCCAAAAGCTGAAATCGCTAAAAGCTCCTGCAATGAATTAAAATGTGCAAAGAGATCAAGTGGGACCCTCTGGGCTTTCCTCATCTAGTGGAAAGCTCGTTGGTCTTCACTGGTCACATGGTGATCAGAAGATGTGGCTGGCTTGAGACAAGTGCCCCTCCCGCCCATGAATCGGGGGTCCCAGCCAGGAGACTTCCTGAGGCACAGGACGGCTCTGCCTTCAGGTGCTCCTCACCTGCAGCTCCGAGGGCTATAGTGGCAGCACTGCTTAATGGGTCTGCAAAGTAATTAAAGCAAAACAGCTCCCTCGATTCCCAGGTGACCACTAGCAGACCAGATTCCTGTCTGTTATTCCTCCTCTACTGCTACGGTTGTATTGCTGGCTCAGCCCTCACAAAGGGAGCCCTCTGTGACTCCAAAAGCTAAATCCTTTCTGCACTTGCCCTGGGGATTGCCAAGGCTGCCTCTACTGGGCTGCCTGGCACCGTGCTGCAAGGCAGGCACTTGTCTTTGCCAGAGGCATGTGGGTGCTGCCAGCCTGGGGTCCACGCTTCCACAGGGCTTGCTGTATGGGAAGGGGTACCAGCCATTGCCAGGGGTCTGAGGAGAGGCCAAGCCACCCTGATTGCTGCCAAGCTGGGTTTCAGGGACAACTGCATCCCAAAATGGTCAGTGTTTGAACAGGAGCCAGTAGCTGCAGGTGACCAGAAGCCCCAGTGTGGTTTTAACTGGGGTTCACATATGCCGGTGGTAGGAGCAGCCCTGGAACACCAGCCCAGCTGGGGGAAGTGCCCACACCCAGCGAGTTTGATTCTGTCATGCTTGATGTGCATGTAATTCATAATCCAAATGCTCAGCATCACCAGCTCCTGATAATTTATTGCAAGTAACACGATTTTGGCCCCCGCCACAAGCGGGCTTGCGATGACGCGAAAAGCTGCAGCTGTCTGCAGCACTTCCCTGCAGTAAGCTGAAGAGCTCGAGTGCCTGGAGGCCAGTGCTGACAACTCCTTTTCCAGCCTCGGGTCATTTTTTCTGGCCCTCCTTTGAACTCTCTTTGGTATTTCCACATCCTTCTCAAAACTGAGACTTTGGAGCAATCAAGGCAAGGTAAAATTACTGCCTTTCTCTCGCATCCTGCAGATGCTGGAGGAACAGGTTGGTCCCCATGCTGCCTTGGGGACATTGCCTGCCTTGAAATACTGCACACTCAGCAGTGATCGTCTCACACTTTACAGAACAGCTCAACCTGCATCACTGCTGACTGTCTTACCTGTCTCATGGCATCTGTGTGGTTTTTCTCAGAAAAGCTGTGTACCCTTAGCTGGATCAGAAGCTCACAAAATGTGGCAGATGCTTCCCAGAGAGACAAGCATGTCCATCTCATCTTGTGCCCAGCCCCGGAGATGCTCTACCCTCGCTGCCACTGAACGGCACAGCTCTGCCTCTGAGCCGTCACAGTGGGAGCCCGGGGCTCAGCTCCCCCACCTCTGCAGGAGAGCAGGGTTTGTCAGAGCACCACTGGGAAGAGAGTATGCCGAGACGAGAGATTTGGCAGCAACCGGGGCAGGTTGCAGGGCTGGGCAACTCTGCAGACCTACATTGCAGACCTTGCTGCTGCTGAGCCTTGAGAGTGAAGGGATGCTGGTGTGAAAGCAGCAGACACTCAGGGACCACCCTGCCCAGAGTGGTGGGTGCTCAGCCAGAGGCTGGAGCTGCTGGTGCCAGCTTCCCATCCCGACAAGGCCATTGCGAGCCCCCTGCAAAACAGCTCTTGAGACCCATATGGAAATTTTGAGGGTGGCCATGAACTCTCTGGCTTCTGTCACTCCCATATCACTCCCATGTGAGAAAGCAGCATCTCCTCAGTGGAAATATGGAGAGGAGGCGAGAAACACCAAGGGAACTGCCAGAAAGTCCTAAGAGCCTGAGCTGACAGGTAGCTCGGAGCACAGAACTCATTTATTTTTAACTCACAACTATGGGGCTAAACACTGCAATCTGTGCTCACCTTTGGCCTCGCCTTAAACTCAAGTAATCACTCATCTAATGATGCCTGTGAATTGGTGTGGCTTGCCAGGGAGCCAGCAGCATGCCGGGCACGGCTTCTTCCCCCTGCCATGATCCCGAGCAGGGTGGGCTGACACAGCTTCCCACAGCAAGAGAAGGCTGGCACAGCCCTGCAGCACAGTGCCAGCGGAGATGTTCCCATGGTTCACCCTCATGCCTTCTTTGGCACCCAGGATTTGCAAGGGAAGCAGTTACCAGGCTGGTGTGGCACAAAGCCTGGTGGTTTTTGTTGGGAGCAGCGAGAGAGAAGCAGGAGGTGGCTTTTCCTCCAGTACTGTGGTGAAAGCTTACCCAGAAAGTGGGAAGTGGGTTTGGATGTTCCTTTGTCAGGCCAGCCCAGCACTGCTGGAACTGGTCAGCTTCTGCTGGGCTGGGCTGGCAAGAGGATGGGGCTGGCAGTGTGGCCAGCGGGTGTTCGCCTCATGCCAGTCACTGTGTTTCATGTGCTGGTCTCTTCATCCAAAATACATGTTAACTGGGGTCTGTGTGAGGGCTTCCCACCCACAGGATGGGTACCAGTACCTGTGTGAGGGATCCGCACTTCTACCTGCCCATCCTGGAACCCTGGAGACTCCATTCCCCACTCCCATGCCCCTCTGGAGTGGCAGACTCCTTCCTGGCACTACCCTGACCACACAGGGCTTTCCTCATGCCTCCCCAGGCAGTGTGCAGAGCCAAGGGGTGCTTGATTCACGCTTCTTTCCACATCAGCTGTGGGTCCTCCTCACCGTGTGGGTCAGATGCTGCCAGCTGGAGCAGTCCCTGGTGCCAGTGTCACCATCGCTGCTGAGTGTTTGACACTGTCAATGGGTTGGGGAGGATCATCCCAATTGCCCTGAGGCAGATGGTCCGTTTGGGGCAGCCAGCCTGGGATGCGCAGAGGGTGTTTATCCAGAGTGCTCATGTGTGCGGATGCCCCAGCACCCAGGCTATGGCCAGCACACCCACAGGCAGCACCCGTAGAAGCAGCGTGAGAGGCTCCATCTCCCTGGCATCACCCAGGGGGCCCACAGCAGTGGTAGGGCCAGAGCCCCATCCTGCTGCATGGCAGGGCCCTTTCCCTTCCCACAACCCTGCTTCATTTACTGCACACCTTCCAGCTTCTGCAGCGGATGAGGGGGGCCCTGCCGGCAGCAGCCTCCATCACCACACAGCCTTGCCTCCCTCTAGGCGCTTGCGGCCCATCCTGTGTGCCGAGCGAGGCCATGTCCTGTGGGAAAAAGTAGTATGTGGTGACGTAATTATAGGCTGCATCATTAATACATGTGTGCAGAGGCTGAATGTTTCTCACTTCTTGGCTTCCCCATGGGTGCTTAACTCCACAGGAGGCTCTAAAACATGAGAAATACTTCTGGAAAGCGGAGCACCCTCAGCAGTCATCAAACCCAGTGTGCCATGAACAGAGCTGGAGAAAGCTCTGGTGTGGTCCAGTCCCATGCAGAGAGTGGGGTGAAGGCACCCTGCCTGCTCCAGAGACATCAGTGTCTGGTGTGCATCAGCTGGAGCTGGATGCACAGGTCCATGGCGTGGCTGTGTGCGAGCCCATGGGAACGTGTGAGGGTATCCATGCTGTTCCCCACACTCCAAATCCTTTAGAGGGTATTGTTGTCTCTCAGCATGGGCAGAGCAATGTATTCTTCCCTTAATTTCTTCACTGGAAACAGTGATGCCATGTTGGCTTGGGCTGCACAAACAAAGCTCACCCCAAGGCAGACATCTGGCACACAACATTTTCACTCAACAGCCAAAATTTTGCTAGGCTGTAAGCAGGGAAGCCAGCCTCTCCTGCCCACTCCCACTGTGAGCTGGGAAGACTGTTGTGCTGCTGACTGTCCCCTCTGCCCCCCAGGACTACTGGCTGTCCCTGCTCTACAAGCGCCTCATCGGTCCCAAGGTCCTGGCGATCCATGTGGCCGGTCTCCAGAGGAAACCCCGGCCCGGCAGAGTAATTCGTGACAAGCTTCGCATTTACGCCCACTGCACCAGCTACCACAAGTAAGCAGAGTAAAAGAGGCCGGTGGCTGCAGGGTGGCAATAAGTAAGGAGATGGGGACTACTGAGGACATGCTGGGGCAAAAGTCCAGGGTTTGGCTGCAGCAAGGCAGGCTGGCTTCCCAAGGAACTTGCTCAGGTACTGGTCTGGCCGCTGTCACGGCAGAGGGAGCGCATGGGAACTGCAGTGCCTCCGATGAAAGTCATGGCAAGCCTGTGCCTGGGAAACAGGGCTGTCTGGGGCCAGTGCAGTGACCAGCAGGCAGACTCAGCAGGGGAGATCAAGGGAGTGGATTTCACCCGTGGGGCCCCAGTCGGTCAGGTTACCCACTGGGCCGTGCTGCCGGGGAGCCCGGCCTGGTTATTGTTTCGCTGGTAAGGTCTTTGAAAGCATCCCAGTGAGTGGGGGGGCGGGGGGCGGCTACCTCCTCCACAGACACAAGTTGCTATTGTGGAGGAGGAGAGGCTGTTTCTTTACACAGTCCAGATGCTTTCAACATGCCTTCAGCTCGGTAGGAAACCTTGTCCTGTAACTGACAGGTGCAAAGTGCTTTATAGCCTTTGTTTAGGGCTGCCTGATCAGGCAGGGACAGAGGATCAGTGACTGGACCTGTCAGTTTGGTGCCAGGGGTGGAGGGGTCAGACACCACTCACGCACAAAGCTCCCCTCCATTCTCAGCCTCCTCCTTGCGAAGCCCTGAGGGGCTGCCCAGGGACCACCATACCCACTTCAGACACTGGCACAGCACCTGCTCCAGCTGTGCTACCCTTGGTTGAGGAGGTGAGGGGGAGACTGGGAAGGTGTCATTGAGGAGCTGGGACTTGTGATGGGGAAGTGGCATCTCCCCGTCTATGGGCAGCCAGGACAGTGCTGTCCCTCCAGATGGCTGCATGAGGCTGGTTCTTGTAGAGACACCCAAACCACTTCTTGTAGGCAATGGTTCCAGGGCACGTGCCAACACACCCCTCAGCTCCTGCTCTCCCCTTTGCAGCCACAACTACGTCCGGGGGTCCATCACCCTTTACATCATCAACCTGCATCGCTCTCGGAAGAAAATCAAGCTGGCAGGAACGCTGCGGGATAAGATTGTCCACCAGTACCTGCTGCAGCCCTACGGCAAAGATGGGCTCCACTCCAAGTAAGTGTGATGCTGGCAGTTGGGCCTGCCACTCCTCCCTCTGTCCCCAGTACCACCACCCTGACCCTCTCCTGGTCCCGCAGGTCGGTCCAGCTCAATGGGCAGCCGCTGGCCATGGTGGATGATGGGACACTCCCTGAGCTAAAGCCTCGTTCGCTGCGGGCCGGCCGCACCCTGGTCATCCCCCCGCTGACCATGAGCTTCTACGTGGTGAAGAACGTGAACG